ACCCCAATCCCTGACCCCATATGCCATTGTCCCCATTGTCCCCAGGTGCCATGGCGGGCCGGAAGCACAGCGCTGGTGGCAATGATGGGGCCATGCCGTATCCCTTGACCCCATAGCCATTCCTGTGTCCCCAGGTGGTCATGGCAGTGCTGCTGGTGTCGGTGGCAGTGATGGGGCTGTTCCATGTCCCATGTCCCATTGTCCCCACTCTCCCCAGGTGCCATGGCGGGCCGGAAGCGCGGTGCCGGTGACAATGCCAGGGCCATGCCATGTTCCTGACCCCATTGTCCCCATTGTCCCCAGGTGCCATGGCGGGCCAGATGCGCAGTGCCAGTGGCAGTGTCAAGGATCAGTGACCCTAAACTCCGTGTCCCATTCCTGTGTCCCCAGGTGCCATGGCGGGCCAGAAGTGCGGTGACAATGCCTGGGCCATGCTGTGTCCCTAACTCCATATCCCATTGTCACCACTGTCCCCAGGTGCCATGGCGGGCCGGAAGCGCGGTGCTGGTGGCAGTGTCAGGGATCAGTGACCATGACCCCATGTCCCATTGTCCCCATTGTCCCCAGGTGCCATGGCGGGCCGGAAGCGCGGTGCCGGTGACAATACCGGGACCATGCCATGTTCCTGATCCTGTGTCCCATTGTCCCCAGGTGCCATGGCGGGCCAGATGCGCAGTGCCAGTGGCAGTGATGGGGTCATACCGTGTCCCTAACCCCATGTCCCATTGTCCCCATTGTCCCCAGGTGCCATGGCGGGCCGGAAGCGCGCTGACAATGCCAGGGCCATGCTGTGTCCCTGATTCCATGTCCCATTCCTGTGTCCCCAGGTGCCATGGCGGGCCGGAAGCGCGGTGACAATGCCAGGGCCATGCCATATTCCTGACCCCATTGTCCCCATTGTCCCCAGGTGCCATGGCGGGCCAGATGCGCAGTGCCAGTGGCAGTGATGGGGTCATACCGTGTCCCTAACCCCATGTCCCATTGTCACCACTGTCCCCAGGTGCCATGGCGGGCCGGAAGCACGGTGCTGGTGGCAGTGATGGGGTCATACCGTGTCCCTGACCCTGTATCTGTGTGTCCCCAGGTGCCATGGCAGGCCGGAAGCGCGGTGCCAGCAGCAGTTCCGCCGGTCCCGGTGACCGTGGTGGCCCCGCGCCGTGGCCGGAGGAGCTGGGCGAGCGCGAGCAGGGCCTGTACTCGCTGCACCGCATGTTCGACATCGTGGGCGCGCAGCTGACGCACCGCGACGTGCGCGTGCTCTCCTTCCTGTTCGTGGACGTGCTGGACGAGGCCGAGCGCGGCCGCATCCGCTCCGGCCGCGACTTCCTGCTGGCCCTGGAGCGCCAGGGCCGCTGCGACGAGAGCAACCTGCGGCAGCTGCTGCAGCTGCTGCGCATCATCACCCGCCACGACCTGCTGCCGTATGTCAGCCTCAAGAGGAGACGGCCCGGTGAGTGTCTGTCGCGATATGTCGCAATATGAGGAGTAATTGTCGCAATACGGGGGGTGTTATCATGGCATATTGTAATATATGGGGTCACATCACCCGCCACAACCTGCTGCCCTACGTCAGCCTGAAGAGGAGACGGCCCGGTGAGTGTCTGTCGCGATATATCACAATACGGGGAGTAATTGTCACGATATAGGGGGTGTTATTGTGGTATATTGTAATATATGGGGTCACATCATCACCCGCCACGACCTGCTGCCCTACGTCAGCCTCAAGAGGAGACGGCCTGGTGAGTGTCTGTCGCGATATATCGTGATATGGGGGGTGTTATTGTGATATATCGCGATATATGGGGTCACATTATCACCCGCCATGACCTGCTGCCGTATGTCAGCCTGAAACAGAGATGGCCCGGTGAGTGTCTGTCGCGATATGGGGGGTGTTATTGTGATATATTGCAATATATGGTGTCACTGGGGTCACATCATCACCCGCCATGACCTGCTGCCGTACATCAGCCTGAAGAGGAGACGGCCTGGTGATTGTATCATGATACATTGCGATATGGGGAGTCATTGTCACGATATGGGGGGTGTTAATTGTGATATATTGCGACATGGGGGGTGTTATTGTGATATATCGCAATGTATGGGGTCACATCATCACCCGCCACGACCTGCTGCCCTACATCAGCCTGAAGAGGAGACGGCCTGGTGATTGTCTGTCGCGATATATCGCGATATGGGGGGTGTTATCGTGATATATCGCAATGTATGGGGTCACATTATCACCCGCCATGACCTGTGGTGGCCGCGTCGGTGGCCCAAGGGCGGCTGTTGGGACAATCCCGGGTAGGTCCCCATTTTTGGGGTCACCAATGGGATTTTCCCGGCGCCATTGTCTGTTGGGACATTCCTGGGTGGATTCCCGTTTTTGGGGTCACGAGTGGGACATTCCTGATGTGGATTCCCGTTTTTGGGGTCACCAGTGGGATTTTCCTGGTGTGGATTCCCGTTTTTGGGGTCACCAATGGGATTTTCCTGTTTTTGGGGTCACCCATGGGATTTTCCCAGTGTGGATTTCCCGTTTTTGGGGTCACCAATGGGATTTTCCCAGTGTGGATTTCCCGTTTTTGGGATCACCAATGGGACATTCCCAGTGTGGATTTCCCGTTTTTGGGGTCACCAATGGGATTTTCCTGTTTTTGGGGTCACCAATGGGATTTTCCCAGTGTGGATTTCCCGTTTTTGGGGTCACCAATGGGACATTCCCGGTGTGGATTCCCGTTTTTGGGGTCACCAATGGGATTTTCCCAGTGTGGATTTCCCGTTTTTGGGATCACCAATGGGACATTCCCGGTGTGGATTCCCGTTTTTGGGGTCACCAATGGGATTTTCCTGTTTTTGGGGTCACCAATGGGACATTCCCGGTGTGGATTCCCGTTTTTGGGGTCACCAATGGGATTTTCCCAGTGTGGATTCCCGTTTTTGGGGTCACCAGTGGGACATTCCTGGTGTGGATTCCCGTTTTTGGGGTCACCAATGGGATTTTCCTGGTGTGGATTCCCGTTTTTGGGGTCACCAATGGGATTTTCCTGTTTTTGGGGTCACCAATGGGATTTTCCCAGTGTGGATTTCCCGTTTTTGGGGTCACCAATGGGACATTCCCGGTGTGGATTCCCATTTTTGGGGTCACCAATGGGATTTTCCTGGTGTGGATTTCCCGTTTTTGGGGTCACCAATGGGATTTTCCTGTTTTTGGGATCACCAATGGGATTTTCCCGGTGTGGATTTCCCGTTTTTGGGGTCACCAATGGGACTGTTCCCGTTTTTGGGGTCACCAATGGGACATTCCCGGTGTGGATTCCCGTTTTTGGGGTCACCAATGGGGTTTTCCCGCAGTGTGCCCGGACCTGGTGGACAAGTACCTGGAGGAGACGTCCATCCGCTACGTCACCCCCCGCGCGCCCGGGGGGGCCCCGCCCGGCCTCGGCCACCCCCACAAATCAGGTACCGACCCCCTTTGGGGTCATCACCCTTTTGGGGTCATCACCCTTTTGGGGTCATCATCAATCCTGTTTTGGGGTCATCATCACTTCCTTTTGGGGTCATCGCCTTTTGAGGTCATCACCCTTTTGGGGTCATCATCACCCCAACCCTAAAGGTCATCCCCTCTTTTGGGGTCATTGCCTCTTTTAGATTGGGATCATCACTGCCCCTTTGGGGTCATCATCACCTCCTTTTGGGGTCATCCCCTCCTTTGAGGTCATCACCACTTTGAGATTGGGATCATCACTCCCCCTCTTTGGGGTCATCATCTCCTTTGAGCATTTGGGGTCTCTGACTGTATTTGGGGTCCCTGGCTGTGTTTGGGGTGGCTGACCCCATTTTTTCCCCCATATCCCAGTGCCTGCCCCCCACCCGTCGCTGTGCTGCCCCCCGGGGGGGATTTGGGGTTTCCTATCAGATTTGGGGTCCCTGGCTGTATTTGGGATGGCTGACCCCATTGTTTCCCCCATATCCCAGTGCCTGCCCCCCACCCGTCGCTGTGCTGCCCCCCGGGGGGGCCCCAGCTGGGCCCCAAACGCCCGGGCCGGGCCCGGAGCCTCCTCGGGACCCACCGGAAACGCAGGAAGTCGGCGACCCC